ATGGGGTTTCTCCACATTGGTCAGGCTGGTCTTAAACTCCTGCCCTCAGGTGATCCGCCCACCTCAGCCTTCCAAAGTGTTAAGATTACAGGTATGAGCCACTGTGCCTGGCCTCAAGTATGCATTTTAATAAAAGGCTGGAGTGTAATGGTATGATCTCAGCTCACTGCAACCTCTGCCTCTCAGGTTCAAGTGATTCTCCTGCCTCATCCACCCCAGTAGCTGGGATTGCAGGCATGTGCCATCATAACTGGCTAATTTTTGTATTTTTTCAGAAAGACGGGGTTTCACCATATTGGTCAGTCTGGTCTCGAATTCCTGGCCTCAAGTGATCCAGCCAAGAGCTCCCAAAAAGTGCTGGGATTACAGGCGTGAACCACAGCTGGGAGGGGTTTTTAACAAAAATATTTATAGCTTTTTCCCACCAATTTATACTGCACTAACTTGCTGAGAGGAGCAGTAATAGGTCCAAGGCCACCTTATAGGTCAGTGACCAGGCTGGCTGGAGTTACACCCAGGTCTGTACAGGGTATAGAGGGTCATCAGGTGGGTGGGGAAAGATAAGGTGTTTAAAGATGAGCTAAGTACCTGGGAGGGAAGGGTGGGGCACAGCAAGAAGCTGGAAGGTGGGCTGCAAGTGGGAGCATAGCTCTGCCCTCTTTCTTCATTACTTTGCTTCAGGGTCTGTGAGAGTGGTGAAGGCAAAACACAAATGGGCAGGAGGAGCTGGCGGCACCTTTGTTCTGAGATTCCAAGCTAGACAAATCCACACACAACACCCAGTACTGCAAACAATTCTAGGCGAGGTTTCAGTGGAAGGGCCAAGGTTCAAATCACAGGAGACTCTCAGGCCTGAGGGCTTGTCTCACCAACTAGATGATCTTACTCCCGTGGTCCTGCAGCACCTAGCATCACGTCTTGCACGTAGCACGGGGTTCCACAGACATCTGATACTAACTGCTGTAAGCTGGGAGACGGAAGCCTTGCAAGGCTGTATCCCCCTGCCTTACTCCTAGGGACGCTCAGCCCCTACATCTGCACCGATGCCCCTAGCCTGTCTCTAAGTGTGCAGGAACACACTCATGACTCATCTAACAAGGGAAGCTGTGTAAACTTCCAGTGGCCAAAGACCATTTGTTGGTGGGGAAACTGAGGCCCGTGGAGAACCATGCATCACACTCAAGGCCCCAAACTCTACTTCTCAGTCCCTGACATGTCATCCCAGCCACTCCTCCTGTCTGTCCTGTGTGGCTGGAAATCTGAACCTGGTAAGTGCACAACACCCATTTTTCTTTGCCCTCATCAGCTCCTCAGAATTCTAACACTATTAAAATGGGAATGATCCTCTGTCAAACCAGACAGGTATTCATTCACTCACTTATTCACTCAGTGCCATGGATGGAGACCTTATTATGTGCAAAGAGCCATTCAAGAGGCTAGAGCTACATTGGTGAGCAAAATAAAGAGACCTGCCTTTTGAAACTTATATTCCAGTGGGAGGAGACAGACAGTAGACAACACAGTAAGTCAGCAAATTGTACAGATGCTAGAGAGCCATGCATGCTATAAGAAGAGGGGAAATCAGCACAGGGCAGGGAAGACTGGGAAGCTGGAGTGGGATAGTGGGTACAGTTTTAAACAGGGTGACAGAAAGGCTCCACTGAGAGGTGACCTGGGAAGACAGTGAGCCATGCTGACTTCTGGGGAGGAGTATTCCAGCCCAAGGAAACAGCCAGGGCAAAGGCCCCAGGGTGGGAGCAACCTGGTATGTTTAAGAACAGCAAAAAGGCTGGGCATGGTGGCTCCCACCTGTAATCCCAGCACTTTGGGAGGCCAAGTGGGCAGACCACCTGAGGTCAGAAGTTTGAGACTAGCCTAGCTAACATGGTGAAACCTCATCTCTATCAAAAATACAAAAATCAGCCAGGTGTGGTGGTGTGTGCCTGTAATTCCTGTTACTCAGAAGGTTAAGGCACTAAAATCTCTTGAACCCAGGAGGTGGAGGTTGCAATGAGCCACGATTGTGCCAGAGTAAAACTCTGTCTCAAAAAAAAAAGGCTGGCCACAGTAGTACATGCCTGTAATCCCAGCACTTTGGGAGGCTGAGGTGGGTGGATCACCTGAGGTCAGGAGTTTTCGACCAGCCTGGCCAACATAGTGAAACTCCGCCTCTACTAAAAATGTAAAACATTAGCTGGATGTGGTGGCAGGCACCTACAATATCAAGTATTTGGGAGGCTGAGGCAGGAGAATCACCTGAACCTGGTAGGCGGAGGTTGCAGTGAGCTGAGATCACGCCATTGCATTCCACCCTGGGCAACAGGAGCGAAACTACATCTCAAAAAAAAAAAAAAAAAAAAAGAACAGCAAAAAGGCCAGTGGGGCTTGCCAGAGAGTCAATCATTGTTCATTCATTTGTCCAACATTTACTGAAGACCCTTCTCTTTACCAAACACTGAGTGGTGAAAACACTAAGAAGGCATGGCCTCTACCCTCAAGGAGCTTATAATGCTGGAAAGGGGAAGGAAGGAATACAAAGACCCTAAAAGAGGACTACTTGTGGGGCAGGACTCTGGCAAAGTTAGGTTCAGGGTTCATGCCCAACCTGGGGTTGAAGAGGGTCAGGTTGGACCCTCAGAGAGAGATGCTGGGCTAGACAGTTGCCCCAGCTCTGACTCTGGTACTGTTAACAATGCCAGCTGTGCTAACCTTGCTCACTTTTCTTAGCTTAGAGAAAAAAAAAAGGCTTCCCAACACCAGACTCCTAAAGAACCTCTTAAATTGCAGACGTACACTAGGTGCATGCTGTGTCCTGGGCAATCTCAGACTAAGAAGGTGAATCCAGATGGGAAGGTCTGTCTGGGAGAGGCCACACTGCAGGATCCTGAATCTGGTGTGCAATGAGTTAAAACTGGTTTTCTGAGACCTCTGGGAATGGGGAAGTAAGTGATAGCATAAAGCCGCAGGGCCTGTTCTAGGGAGGCAGGGGGGATGACCATCACCATCTCCAGGGCAGCCAGCTGTGCTGGGCAGTTCCCTGGGATTACCAGCACTGCTCCAGGGTGTGGCCTCAGGCTATTGGCCTCTGTTATGGAGGAGAGTAAACTGAACCTGGGGACTTGGGCTCAGCAGAGCTCTGCTCTGGCCTAAGAGATGCTAGCTCTGTTTTCCTAACTTAATGAAAGAGCACTTGACAAGACAGAGCCCAAAGACAGCCTTCTCAAGACACAGGGAGGCTCCCACCCAAGAGAGCTCAGCCTTGCCGATCAAGACTGGGAGACTGGCCAGGCCAATCCATACTGGTTGGATCCAGACTCCCAAGTAAACTGATGGGAAGGTGCTATCGGGTGTGTCGCAAGCCATAGTTCCAAACACCACAGAGGCGGTGAGGAGGAAGCCGCCCTGGAGGGTCCTAGTCAAGTTCCCAAACAAGCAACAGAAGTCCAGGTCCCAAGGCTTGGGGTGAGGGTAGGGCACAGATCCTCACTGCTTTTCTGTCCTGGATCTGCACTCCCAAAGCTGCCCCCACTCCCAACCCACCACAGCCTCTGCCTTCACCACCCGGGGTCTGTCTCACCAGTCTCTGCAGGGAGGCCACCTTCCCCTTGGCTCTCTCCCACTCTGGTTTACTTTACTCAAGTGGTCCTCAGATTCAGTCTGTTGAACTTAAGCGGGAGGGTACCAGCCCAACACCCTGGCCCTGACCTCAGCATCTTTTCAGAGCAAACCTGGCAAAGCCAGCTCCTCCCTATCCCACTCCAAAGCTGTCCTGCACTCTGTTCCAGAAACACCTGCCAGCTCACTCCCTGCTAGGATTCTGAAGTCCCTAAGAGCCCTAGGTCGGCCTGAACGGCCTCAGCCAGCAGGATCTCTCCTATGGGAATGAAGGCTGGGAGCGTGTTTAGAAATCAAAGTCTTCAAGTTTAGGATGAACCCCCGACCCCCATTCCTTTAAAAAGAGCTTCCCTTTCTGCCTCTTCACTTTCTTCAGCCTAGGAGCATTCCACTCTATAATTGGCTTGTTTACTGCCACTCTAAGGGCTTCTGAATAGCAGAGGTGGGAGGAAAATTTTGCTGGAAGAAAAGGAGTGTGTGCCTTGAGCTTTGAGACTGGTGAGTAAACCCTCCAAATGCCTCTCTAACTACCTGCAAAATGGCCAAGAACCCAGGTGAGAAAAAAACACAAGGCAGTGCAAGGCCAGCTGAAGATTTCCAGCAGACCACAGGAGAGAAGCTTACATTGGCGCCAGGGAAACGCAGAACAATAACCAAAACTTAATCTGCTTGCTTCTGCTGAATAGTGGAAAGCATTATTTGGTATTGTTTTGAGCAGGGAGCCAATTAGAGACTCCCAATTCTGCTTCTTTGGACTAGCACCTCCAGTGACGTCACTCCTCTGCTCAAAAACCTTCTGTAGCTCCAAGCTCGGAGCAAACTTAGCGTCCACTACTGGGCCCCAAACTACTCCAGCCATTGACAACTGAGCATCAGAGCGACTATGCCCACCAAACGCGACCACCTGCTGGGCAACAAGCACACCTTTGCTTCTCCACTCGGGTTCTCTGCTTTCGGAGTTCCCTCTGCCCCAAACAACAAGTCTCTCCACCTTTTAAGGTGGAAATGCTCCTTCCCCTGTGAAAGTTTCCCCAACTTCCCAGCCCCTTCCCCACCCCAACCCATATTCTAAATCTCCATCGCCTTGGCCTCTTTTCAGGCATCTGTCTTACGCTGTCTTGCTTCAATAGCTCCCTGAGGCCTTGCACCAGCCCTCCAAGGGAGTGAGTGTGTCTTATTTAGCTTTGATTCATCAAGAGCACACAGCGCACTACCTGGCAGATGGTGGACACTGCTCCAGAACTGTCCTCAGAGGTGTAGGAAGTGATGGGTAAAGGGACACAGAGTCACACAAACAGAACACTAAAACCAGCAGACACAAAACATGCCAGGGGACGAGAGGCGTCACGAGGAAATTGAACCAGGGGACCTATATCTGTCCTTACCCTTCTTGAACTCCTCCAGCATGGCATCCAACTTGGTGTCATGGAAGACAAAGTGCACCGGGTGGTTATAAAAGCGAGTGATAGTCTTGAGAGGGGTGCAGTCATCGGGGTCCACAAAGGCCAAGTCTTTGATGTAGAGAATATCTACAATATTGGACTGCTCGTCTTCAAACACCGGAATTCGGGTATAGCCGCTTTCCATAATCTCCGACATAGTATTGAAGTCCAGGATGGCATCGCTGCGGATCATGAAGCAGTCCTGGAGCTGGGTCATGATATCCTCCACGGTTTTGGTCCGTAGTTCCAGGGCACCCTGGATCATATTGAGCTCCTCTTTCACGAGGTCATTATAGGGCTCCGTCACCTTCAACATCTCCATCAGCTTCTCCCGGTTGTAAACAGTACGAATCTCCTGGCCCAGAAAAAAGTCCAGGAGTTTGCTGATGGGAAAACTGAGGGGGAAGGTGAGTAGCATAAAGAATTTGGTGAGAACGATGGTGTTGGCACCCACTGCCAGCCCGTGTCGGGAGCACAGGGCCTGAGGTAGGATCTCCCCAAAGATAACAATGCCAATGGTGGAGGAGGCCACCGCCATGAGGCCGGACCCGATGAGGTTGTCTAGAAGGATGGTGAGGGAGGTGTTGACCAGCACGTTCCCCAGGAGCAGCGAGCAGAGCAGGTAGTTGCCCTTGCGCCGGATGGGCTCAATCTTGCGGGCATAGCGTCTCTCCTTCTCGGTGCCACAGTTCTGCACGATGCGCAGCTCCATGGGGTCCAGGGCCATAAGCCCCAGGTTGAGGCCAGAAAATATGCCGGACAGCACCAGTAGCACCGTAATGAGAAGGATGTGCAGCCAGAGAGGTAGGAACCTCCCAGGCTCCTCTACCATGAAAAGCAGTGAGTCCTTGTCGGTCCACTTCAGCCAGGGGCCGTCGGGCTGGGCCCGGGTGCACAGTGCGTAGAGCTTCATGTTCTCGCTCCTCCGGAGGAACTTGGTGAGCACCACCAGAACGCCGGACGTGTTCCCGCGGCTCACGTTGACCAGCTGCTGGACGACCAGGTCCTTGGTGAGCTCGAGACAGTTGGTGGACTTGGGGCCGGTCTCGGCGTCGTCCACCTCGGTGAAAGAGATCAGGCTGCTGGAGATGTTGCCCAGGCTGTAGCCGTACAGCCTCAGGTTCACGGTGCTGCCCTCGGACACGAAGATGATGCCATCCGGGTTCGTCCCACACGACTTGTTACAGCTCGCCAGCCTCATGCCCACGATCGCTCCCTGCTGGGGGCTGCTCTGGCCCCGGGCCCCCCGAGCCCACAGCAGCACCAGCAGCACCGGTGCCGCCAGGAGGAGGCGCCCTCGGGCCGGCCCGCCGCCCGGGCGCCCACCCCCGCCCACCGGCGCCATGTTGCTCTGGCTCTGCTGCCGTCGCCGCTCCCCGCGCGCCGCTGCTCCGGCCGCTCCGCTGCCGCCGAGCCAACTGCCCGAGCCGCGGGCCTGACGTCAGGTCAGCGCCCCGCCCCGCCCCGCCCCGCCCCGCCGTCCCACGCCCCTCATTTGCATTGGAGGCCCCGCCTCGGGGTGCGCGGCTCCAGCGCCCGCCCTTAAGGGGGTCCAGACGCTTAAGGTGGAGCAGAGCCGGAGCGCGAGAGCAGCTGTGGGGTACCCGCCCAGTGCTCCGCCTCCGCGCCCTTCCCGCCTTTCTCTGTCTGTGGGGTCAGCTCTCCTTCTCCGGGACCCGGGCTTTTCGCCACGCGGTTCCTGTTTCTCGGTCTCGCCCGGCCGCACGTGCAAGGCTCCTTTCCCGTCCTGGCAGCCTGCAGCTCAGCTAGGGGTGGCCCGTTCTGCAGGCAGGGCGAGAAAAGTGCTTTTCCTGATAAAAGGGAAAAAGAAAAATAAATAATAAAAAAAAAAAAGAAAAGAAAAAGAAAAAGGGAACCTGAGAGCTTAGGCTGGCATTGCAGCCTGCCCCTTGGAGACTTTTCTGGCCTCCTCACTGCTGAGATTTTTGCTGACCTTGGCCCAAGGCCAGAAGTAGGTTCCCCCAGCCCCAGACGGGCAAGGGCAATGCTTCTATCAACCGTTAAGTGGCTGCCTGATGCGGAAGGCAAATCCCGGGAACTAAGGTTATACAAGGGCCAGGCTCTGGCCTAGACTTGTCTCCTGTCGCTTCCATTTAGGCACGGATATTTATTATTATTATTATTATTTTATTTTTTTTTTTTTTTGAGATGGACTCTTGCCCTTATTGCCCAGGCTGGAGTGCAATGGTGCAATCTCAGCTCACCGCAGCCTCCACCTCCCGGGTTCAAGTGATTCTGCCTCAGCCTCCCGAGCAGCTGGGATTATAGGCGCCCGCTACCATGCCTGGATAATGTTTTGTATTTTCAGTAGAGACGGAGGTTTCACTATGTTGGTCAGGCTAGTCTCGAACTCCTGACCTCAGGCGATCCACCTGCCTCCCCTCCCAAAGTGCAGGGATTACAGGGGTGAGCCACGGTGCCTGGCCAAGCACGGATACTTATTGAACACCTACTTTGTACCAGGCACTGGTTCCAGGCTCTGACAGAGCAGTGAACAAGCCATAGTCACTGCCCACTGGGGTTTACAGTCTAGAACAGAAAACAGGAGATAAACAAGTAAACACATATATCATATTCATGTAATTGCCCCAACAACCCTCAGAGTTAGTATTATTTCCATTTAGAGATGCAGAAATTGAGCCGAGATACAAATCCTGGTCCCTCCGGATTGTCATCTCCCAACCCATTTCTCCATCCATAAACAGGGGTAAAAATGATACAGTATCACTTTGCTAAGCTTACAGGAACCATGGCCCTAGACATGGAACAAGACAGGACAGCTCTTTATGAATATTCTTTGACTAGGTAGTAGTTGTGACCAGACTTCTAACCCCAAATTGTGGTGATTGATTAGCTGGGGCAGCTGTTTATGGAGATGAGCTGACAGGCAGCTGCTTGTGAAGATGAGCAGGCAGGCAGAGCAGTGGGCTTATTCCTGAAATGACCACTTCCTGGATGGCCCTTCCCTGATGTCACTAGGGTGTGTGGAAAAGAATGCAGCTACCAGCCCTGTGAGGGGGAAGGAGACAGACAGACAAACATCTTTGGCTGGGCATGGTGGCTCATGCCTGTAATCCCAGCACTTTGGGAGGCCAAGGCAGGTGGATCACTTGAGGTCAGGAGTTCAAGACCAGCCTGGCCAACATGATAAAACCCCATCTCTACTACAAATACAAAACAAGCAAACAAAGAAAAACCCCATCTTTACAACAATCGCAGAGGTGCATGAAGAAGCTCAGGTACTGGGTTGACGACCAGGTCTCACAGCAAATCATTTCCTAGTACTGGAGACACAGAACCCACTAAATTTGTGTTTATTTTTATTTTGGTATACTGTTTGCTAATAAAAGCAACAATCAGTACCAACTGGAAGGAGCCTAAGCAGAAAGGAACCATCATACAATGCTGTGGGAGGAGGTGTGGTAGCAGAGAGGCCCTGACTCAGGAAAGCCCTGTTAGCTGGTGTCGAGGGTTTGTGACTAGGCCTGAAGAAGTATGTTGCAAGTAGGGTCCCCATGTCATAGTGGACACTTTGTAGTGAGTGTACAGCAGGCCAGTTTTTTCGAGGAATAGGAGCCTTAGAATGGAGTAATATCCTTGGGGCCTAGGGGTAGGAAATGAGTGGGAAGCACTTGGGCAGTGGCTTTATATGTAAAATTACAATTCTGTTTCCTGAGACTATATGCATTGATATCATTTCTGTTCTTTTTCTTTTTTTAAAATCTGTGTCTTGATCCAACTAAATTGATTTCTTGACTGATGCACATTTGAAAAACACTGGTCTCATAAGTTGCTCATGGGCATCCCAGTGGAATTCCCCTGGGAGGAAGCCTGCAGGGACTGGTGGGCATTAAAAGGCTCCAGTCTATATAAGCAGCACCCACACCCACAGAACTTGGCACAATCCACATGTGGTAATAAATCACCTCAGGCATACTAATGAGGCAAGTTCCTGATTCCCCATTCTTCTTGTGTCCCAGCTCACCCAGAAATCCAGAGAGCCTTTGAGATCTTCATTCCCAAGTATCCAGATTTTCTCTGGTTTGTACCAAACAGTTGTCAAGGTGCCAATTACCTGCAGACATTTAGCAACCAGCTCAACTTGCTGGGCCTTGGGGCCTTTATCTTTAGCATAAGAGGACTGAATCAGATAAACAGATTCAATGCTAATTTAAATTCCTGGATGTGTAATTCTTCCTGGGCAACACAGGAAAGAATTGCAACTGACCTCTGTAAGGTGAAGGCAAAATCAACATCATCAGATGTAGTGGGCACCTGTTGTTTGGATCTGTCCAGCTTCCTGTCCTTTTTCTTCCTAGTATGGTACCTCCCCTTTCTCTGGAGACTTGTCCTTCCTCCATTTCCAAGGGTTCCAGTAGGGATAGGTAACTGGCCAGGCATGGACAATCAAAGCACCCCTGGGGCTGCCACTGATCTACAGTGGGCAGGGAACCAAAACAGGTCGATCAGGGATCTGACTTGGGCTTTTATATAAGGAGGAGGTGCCTAAATGGAGGTTATGGAAGCCTCAAGCTGTCAGCTGCAGTGTCCCCTCTCCTTGCTAAATGCACCGCTTCTATCCTGCTTCATCTCAGCCCTGCAAGGAGGCTGGGTTGGGTACCATTCTTAGTCTCATTTTCCAAAGAGAAATTTGGAAAGGTTAAGAATCCTTCTCAGGGTTGGGTGCAGCAGTTCATGCCTATAATCCCAGCACCTTGGGAGGATGAAGAGAGAGAATCATTTGAGGCCAGGAGTTTAAAACCAGTCTGGGCAATATAATGAGACCACCACCACTACCCCACCCCCACCCCCATCTCTACAATTGTTAAAAAATAGGCCGAGCGTGGTGGCTCACACCTGTAATTCCAGCACTTTGGGAGGCTGAGGTGGGCAAATCACCTGAGGTCAGGTGTTTGAAACCAGCCCGGCCAACATGGTGAAAAACCATTTCTACTAAAAATACAATAAATTAGCCAGGCGTGGTGGCGGGCACCTGTAATCCCAGCTACTCAAGAGGCTGAGGCAGGAGAATCACTGGAACCCAGGAAGTGGAGGTTTCAGTGAGCCGAGATCACGCCATTGCACTCCAGCCTGGGCAACAAGAACAAAAGTTTGTCTCAAAAACAAAAAGTTAAGGTCAGGAGTGGTGGCACAGCCCAGGCAAAAGAGCAAAAACCTGTCTCAAAAAAAAAAAAAAAAAATCCTTCTCTGAATCACACTGAATTATATTTCAAACCTTTCAAATCTGTGTTGACTCCAAACCTTAGTAATCCATGCACTGTGCTGCCCCTCAAAGGACTCAAGTTAAAGGAACAGAATTGTAGTTTAGGCCAGGTACTGGGGCTCACACCTGTAATCTCAGCACTTTGGGAGGCCGAAGCAGGTGGATCACCTGAAGTCAGGAGTTTGAGACCAGCCTAGCCAACATGGCAAAACCCTGTCTCTACTAAAAATATAAAAATTAGCAAGGCATGGTGGCAGATGCCTGTAATCCCAGCGACTAGGGAGGCTGAGGCAGGAGAATAGCTTGAACCTGGGAAGCAGAGGTTGCAGGTTGGGCCACTGCACTCCATCCTGGGTGACGGAGCAAGACTCTATCTCAGAAAAAAATAAATAAATAAAATATATATATGTGTGTGTGTGTGTGTGTGTGTGTGTGTGTGTGTATAAACATTTATATATATTATAAACTTTTTATCAGTGATCTCAACGCACTGGGCACTCAACATGACGTGGTTTTATTTCTTTTCCATTTAAGGCTTTTAACTGATTTCCGTCACATTTCCCTTTCTGTATCCTTCTTGAGGTCTTGAATAGATTCCATAGCTTTAGTATGACTTTTAGCATTAAAAGTTCAATCAGGGCCTGTAATCCCAACACTTTAGAAGGGTGAGGAGGGAGGATTGCTTGAGCCCAGAAGTTCTAGACCAGCCTGGGCAATATGGCAAGAACCCATCTCTGAGAAAAATTTAAAAATTATCCAGGCATGATGGTGCACACCTGTGGTCCTTGCTACTTGGGAAGTTGAGGCTAGAGGATTGCTTGAGCCCAAGAGGTTGAGGCTGCAGTGAGTCATGATTGCTCCACTACACTCCAACCTCAGAGCGAGGCCCTGTGTCAAAAAAAAAAACAAAACCCATTCAGGTCCACAAAAAACTGCCATCTCAACCAGTCACGCCTATAATCCCAACACTTTGGGAGACTAAGGTGGGCAGATGGCTTGAACCCAGGATTTTGAGAACAGCTTGGGCAACATGGCAAGACCCCATATCTACAAAAATAAAAAAAATTAACAGATGTGGTGGTGTGCACACTTGTAGTCTCAGCTATTCAGGAGGCTGAGGTGGGAGGATCACTTGAGCCTGGGAAATTGAGTCTGCAGTAGGCTATATTCATGCCACTGGATTA